AAATTTAGTAACTAAGATGAATGAATGTCATATTTGTAAAGCCAACCATAGATCTATGCAGTTAAGAATTTAAAACAAAGAAATGGCATTCAGGCATGGTGCCGAGCGCATTAACCTCTAAGTGTAGCTCTCTTTCCTTTTTATATACCAATTATTATTGCTTAGAACAACATAGCATCATGTTTTCTAAAGTAACCATGCAAAATCCAATGAAAACCCAATATAAAAAATATCAGCTTACCTTCAAATACAACACCTTGAGAATTTCATTCAATTTGGGGCTTGCTTATTATGTTCATAATATGCTACTCAACCAAGTATCTTACCTTATTATCATGACAATGGTGGTCGGAGATCTATGAATGGTAAAAAACTGAATTCACTAAAGCAGGGTAGACTTTTAGTTGTTATGACAAGTCCGCCAAAGCTTGTATTAGGAACAAAATTTAATGACTATGCCTATAAATAATTTTCTCAATATGTTCCACATATTGTTCAATAGCATATGTAGGATCATAGTATGAAACTTTATTAGATGAAACTGTAGCCTTGGACATAGTACAAGTATGATGAAAATTACTATGAAACATTAACCATCTATTCAGATAAACAAGAATTATATACAGCATGTACCAACTGCTTGTACGTTCCTAATCTTTCTACTAAATATTGAAACTTTGAATTCTGTTATCAATCTATATAATGAAAATTTCTACTGTCAAAAGCAACAAGAGGAAATAAAGGGGAAAAAAATCACGGTTTTAAATGCATACCTGGCAACTTGCTGATAAAGATGAGGCTTTGTCAATTTCTGTATAAAAGTTGGCTTGATTTTTCATTCAAAGCAATGGCTAAATGAATGTAGTGATTTATCACATTACTGAATCTATCATGTAAATATGAAAAATAAAGCATGCACTCTTCTCCCCACCGATTCATCTTTTAGGACATTGTACCAGTTGTTTGAGGATCAAAAAGCCAGAGAGAGGGAGAAGAATGAGGTTTTCACTTCTTGTATCCGACATGTGAAAAAAAAAAAAGGTATATGAAAAGCTAAAATGGTTGAAATTCCAATAATTGGTTCATTCTTTTGAAGGAAGAGAATAAGCCAAAAGTCATCATTAATCAATTTAGTTGATTTACATGGTTAAACTTCTCCATGAAATGATTGAACTTCCAATAATTGGTTCATTCTTTAAAAGCAACACAATAAGGCATCAGTCATCATTATTAAGTTTAATTAATTTACATGAATAAAAAATGACCTAAATTTATTGTTTAAGGGTATAAAAATGAAAATGAATTTATTTTGTACAAAAGAAAAATACTATGCAACCCAAATTTGTAACTCAAATTTATATCCCAAATAAAAGGGGACCATTGGATGAGTGAGTCTTATCATCCTCTTCATTTGGGATGCAAATTTGAGTTGCAGATTTGAGTTACATAGTATTGTTTGAGTTATTGGCTTGCCCGACCCGACAACATTCACGAGTTGCTCATTCAATTGTCCCTCGGAGACATGGTCGAGAAGTACCATGCATGGTTGCCCCCATCGTTTCTTTCTCTCGGTCCCACACGACAAGATAGGGCTCAACCAAAAAACGTGAGCGCCCCTAGGCAAGTCTTATTTTCTTAGCTTAGTAAAGTAAAGTTTTGGCACCCTAAAGACTAAAGAAATGGATTGTAATAATGGTAATATAGTAGGACTGTCATTACAATAACTAAGATTAATGGATGTTTTGTAACTCATGGTTTGGTGAGAAACAAATGGAAGAGAAGTACATGAAGGGCCTCCCCCCTCCCAATCTCCCCCCAAAAAAATATATATATGAAGGGTCATTTTGATATTTAATATATATTGGATAATTAAACACATAAGGATATTGTTAGTTTTAACTTTTTTATAAGGACATAATAGTTAATCAAAAGTTTTTTACTTTTGTTGACCTCTTTTATGAGTTTGTTTTAACACTGTTATGGTATCTATTTTTATCATTTTTCTTCAATACCACAACAGTGATAAAAACATCTATAAAAATAATAAATGTCGACGATACCAAAATTTTTTTGGCACCATAGACAACTCTCAAATTGAGATACATGCATTGAAATCTTTGTTTCCCAAGCCATTCGTTGAATGTCACCTAAAAACATTTTGAGCAATGCTAGAAATTCTAAACTTAGGTCTCAAATGGCATCTCAAATTAATAGGGATCATTGGATATGTCAGTCCTATTACAAAAGTTGTTGAGACTTAGTCATCCAATGATCTCTATTCATTTTTACCAATATTTGGAATCCAGGTTGTTTCTCTCTCAACAATGAAGCTTATCCCCCATCGTCTCATTGACTGACCTTGACTCATGTTATTTTGATGTCATATTTAGTATTCAGAGTTTGCCTCAATTTGGCACCTCTCTCGCGGCCCGCACCGAAACAGTGTTTTACCCTAGATGTATCGTCAAGGCATGAGACCTTGCTCAATTTTTGGTCAAACTTGGAAGGATGAATTTTAATTCAAAATAGTTGTATGGTAAACATTGACCTTCTTATCGTGCAAATGCTAAAGCTTCGCCAAATGCACAAGTGAATTAAAAAAATATTTGATTTCCTATGTATGGTTGTTTCTGATTGAAATTCATCTTTTGAATTTTGGCTTAAATTTGGACGATTAAAGTTCTGTATTTTTTTTTCTTTTTCGAATCTAATATATTTGTCTGAAATCAATTAAAAATTGTAAAATAAAAGGATGAGTAACCTCCCCTCCTTCCTGTGGCATTGTGACAATAAATTTGATAAGGTTCTTTAAATAACCCCCCCCCCCCCTCCCCAACACACACACACCCTCACCCAAATCCCCAAAAAGAAAAAAAAGGTTTGCCCTGGTCAGTGTTGAATACCTTATTGGCCTTTTAGAGCGCCACACTTTATTGAGTAGTTTTTACTTTTCAATGTGCATGTTTTTCTCTTTGGGTGTGCTCCGCTTGTTGAGCCTTTTTTTTTTTTTCCATAGAGTATTTAAATTTGTGTCAACTATTTCTTAAAATTTAGCGATTGATCACCTTGACTTAACCTGAATTAGAACATGTCGCTAAAAAAAATAAAAGTGATTAGCCTTTAAGAAATATGAGAAATAATTAAATTTAAGACGTCTAAATTATCATATGTAAAACTTTATCATTGAACCTCCGTAAAGATTACTTGTTAAACCTTTGAATCCATGGACAAAGGGCATAGTTCAAGTGATTTCGGGTTGCCTCCAAAACCCCCCCTCTCTCTCTCTCTCTCTCTCTCTCAATGTGGTGCATCCAATGCCCAGGGCAAAAAATAAAATATAATCATGGATCACTTCCATAAGGTACTGTGCATAAAAGAATAAAAATAAAGTATCACACACACACACACACATAAAAAGTTGGAAGTTTGCAGCCTTGCACATGTCAAATTGATAAGGAAAGATTAGGCTCTAGAAGCCAACACAACTAATTACAAAAATCAATCCCAACTGAGGTGGTTGTATCTGAGAGTTTCTTTGCTTCAAGAATCAATTTCTAAGCTGACTGTCCTTTTCAAATTTACTTCTCTATCTCTCATCACTTTTACCTTATTTTCGATCTACTGTTACTCTCGTAACAACGTGGTTTCAACCACTTAGAATTTGTTTTGTATACACACTTTTACGTTGAAAATTATACGGTATATAAATTAGAAACCGTGATAAATAAAATAACGATAATTTTGTAAAAAGATTTGTTCCAATAGGATTTAATTGATGGGGAGATGTGCATAATGAGTCATACCAATATGCTAGACAAAATAATGAAGGCCACTTCTCCCATCACTACCACCTTTAAGGTCATTTTTCAACTTTATCTGTTTTATTTTTATTTTTTCTGTCAGTGGGAGGTCCTGTTTTCCAAACATGCAGCTCAGAAAAACCCAAGTTCAACAATTGAAAAGACATTAATAACCCGAGTTCCAAACCCACCCCCTTTGGTATACTATACATGATAAAACAAAGGGTGAATGACACTTTCACTCTAAAAGCTTCTCAAAATTTTAATTTACGACCTAAAAGTTTAAAATTCTCAAGTTACACTCTTAATCAGATAAAAAGGTAATAATGTAGTTCAAAGGTAAATATTTGATGCCTTTTCTGACAATTTTTTGGTTGTATTTTTTCACATTATCTTATTTTATATACAATTGCTTTCGTAATACTCTATTTGAAGTGTTCTCGACAAAAAATTAGTACTCAATTTCCTTGAAATGGAACACATTGTTATCTTTTTCATTTAATTGAGGGTTCAATATGAGAATTTTCATCTTTCAAGGTATAAATTGAGAATGTGAAGATCTTTTACGGTGCAAAGTGTTGTTTGCCCTAAAATAAAAAAAAATATAAAAAATAAGGCTCTGCTGTGGCTCCAGATAATCAGTTCAAGATAATCCAAACCCAAAGACCAAATCTCTGAAAGCCATTCAAAAAAAGCAACTCTTATTTTGTTGTTCTCAATTGGCATAAAGGATGAAACTTCCACTAAGAAAACTCCTCATGCCGATTCTTACAAGATTACATAAACAAAACCAATGCAATTAAATAATGATGGGTTTACCAAGCTTGAATCAGAGTAAAATAATTGTGGAAGTGGCTACAAATTGAATATCCTAAGAGTACATCAATTATGATACAAAGGACAGTACCAGATACACATCGTTCTTTATAGCCTTGCCCATGGGAATCTCAGTGGGCTCTCCTCATCCCCCACCCCAATTTCAAAAGCATCCAATGCTGACAGAACTTTCAGATTCTGAACAATCATCCCCCCACCACCATGTGAAAGATTAGATTGAGCCTTGTTGCCCTGAGTGTCCTCCATGTCCTTTGGTTTGTGCTCATCCAAGTGCAAATCAGTTCATTTAGCTATCATGGCTAAACTATAACTTTGTAACATATGTACATTTATTGGGTTAATAGAGTCATGGCTCTATTCAAGTTACCTCGAAATCCGATGGAGTCGTCGTGGCGTTGGTACAACCAGATCGTGACCAGATTTTATCGAGTTGAGACGATCTTGTATCAGTGATTTATCAAACAGCCTGTTATCGGGATTCTCAGCATAGCAGACATAGTAACAGCTCACACAGGCTTGAGGCAATGCCATCGCAATCCTAGTCTGTCGCAGTACCAAATTCACAATTAAATTATGTTAATCAATAGTTTAGGAATAGACATATCCAAGTTGATCACATAGCATTAATGGAGAATATGACAGTTGAATATTCTTAAAATAGTTAGGTGTTGAGACAAAGGCCACCAACCATGAGATAACCAATGTAGAAGGCAAGGAGGGATATGGTAGCTGTGAAGCTCCGCTGCACTGTGGCAGTCCAAGCGGCCACAACGATGACACAGATGGAGCCACTGCAGACTCCTGTGAGGAAGCATATAGCACTGGTCATGTCAGAGTCGACAATTTGCTCCATTTCTCGCATCTCAAAGAGTTCCCAAGTGTCCTTTGATGCCTGAACAAAGCCTTTTCCATATGTAGCAATCTGTAACAGTTATTTAGTGGATCTCTCAATTCCATTTCACTAACACTTATGATAAGTCATTAGTCCTATAGTCACAGGCCATAATTAGAATTAAAGTAAGATGGAACATATAGGTTGATTCAATCAAATAAAATACATGGTCGCTAAACCAATGATATCAGAAAAATTCACTAAAAAATTATAAATAAAGTTCAAAATAAGTTACAAATATTTAAAAAGAAGAAAAAGAAACAAGGAAACATTGAAGAATGTTGAAGTGTATACGTAACTCTATGGACAGCTGTAGAACTAGAAGCATTCAAAACCTTAAAGAATGTTATTGGAGAATAACTCGAGAAACACCTCCCTTAAAGTAAATATCAGATAGTGTAGTCTTAAACACAAATAGCACTTTATTTTTCGCAAAATGAATATCTCCTATGGATAGATTCAAACCAAGTCATCTCCTCATGAAAGGAACAAGGGTGTCTGTACAAAATCAAAATGCAGAAAAGTCATCCGATGCTTGTAGGAAGACTGGTTTTGATTCATTTTAAAATTTAATTTATCTTGAACTTTGATTATTTCAAACCCAAATTTTTCAATATTTTCTTTACATACAAATTAGATTCGCCAACCGTCGTCTGCAGTTCATATTTTATGTAGTATCCCATAATGAGATGCAAGTGCTAACTGGTACTAAGTAACAATACCTGTACATTGGCCCAGCCATTGCCACATCTGAAGATGGACTCCATGACTTTCAGACAGCAATGTGCACAAGAAAACATGAACTCATCCTCTCCCTCGAGCAAATTCAAACCTCGAGCAACAATTCTCAAAGCTTCTATGGTAGGCACAAAAAGGGATCCAAGACAAGCACTTCCTAGATTTTTCGACAATGCTCTTTGGAAACAAAATTGGGTACTAGATTGCATTCCTCTGAGATAATACAGAGCAATTACCCTACTAACTGTTACATTAGCAACATTCCTCATGACTTCAGCTGTCCAAGCCAAGCTCAATACCAAAGCAATTATAATCAATGGAGGGAAGTAGAAATATAGTGCCCCAATTACAGCGAAAATCCACAGTGATATCCACAAGAACCCGGCCCCAAGCATCCAATACGTTGGTCGATTCAAATCAGGGAATTTAGATACCGGTTCAAGTGATTTGATGAAGATCTTAGAACAAAACCCAGTTCTCGGTGTAACCCAACAAGCATATAAACCATTACCAATGGCAAAGATGAGAAAGACGGCTCCTACGCCATCAGTGGCAGGCCTTTGGAAGCAAATNCCCTTAATCAGATAAAAAGGTAATAATGTAGTTCAAAGGTAAATATTTGATGCCTTTTCTGACAATTTTTTGGTTGTATTTTTCACATTATCTTATTTTATATACAATTGCTTTCGTAATACTCTATTTGAAGTGTTCTCGACAAAAAATTAGTACTCAATTTCCTTAAAATGGAACACATTGTTATCTTTTTTATTTAATTGAGGGTTCAATATGAGAATTTTCATCTTTCAAGGTATAAATTGAGAATGTGAAGATCTTTTACGGTGCAAAGTGTTGTTTGCCCTAAAATAAAAAAAAATATAAAAAATAAGGCTCTGCTGTGGCTCCAGATAATCAANACTGCTTGTACGTTCCTAATCTTTCTACTAAATATTGAAACTTTGAATTCTGTTATCAATCTATATAATGAAAATTTCTACTGTCAAAAGCAACAAGAGGAAATAAAGGGGAAAAAAATCACGGTTTTAAATGCATACCTGGCAACTTGCTGATAAAGATGAGGCTTTGTCAATTTCTGTATAAAAGTTGGCTTGATTTTTCATTCAAAGCAATGGCTAAATGAATGTAGTGATTTATCACATTACTGAATCTATCATGTAAATATGAAAAATAAAGCATGCACTCTTCTCCCCACCGATTCATCTTTTAGGACATTGTACCAGTTGTTTGAGGATCAAAAAGCCAGAGAGAGGNAGTTCAAGATAATCCAAACCCAAAGACCAAATCTCTGAAAGCCATTCAAAAAAAGCAACTCTTATTTTGTTGTTCTCAATTGGCATAAAGGATGAAACTTCCACTAAGAAAACTCCTCATGCCGANAATTCAAGATAATCCAAACCCAAAGACCAAATCTCTGAAAGCCATTCAAAAAAAGCAACTCTTATTTTATTGTTCTCAATTGGCATAAAGGATGAAACTTCCACTAAGAAAACTCCTCATGCCGATTCTTACAAGATTACATAAACAAAACCAATGCAATTAAATAATGATGGGTTTACCAAGCTTGAATCAGAGTAAAATAATTGTGGAAGTGGCTACAAATTGAATATCCTAAGAGTACATCAATTATGATACAAAGGACAGTACCAGATACACATCGTTCTTTATAGCCTTGCCCATGGGAATCTCAGTGGGCTCTCCTCATCCCCCACCCCAATTTCAAAAGCATCCAATGCTGACAGAACTTTCAGATTCTGAACAATCATCCCCCCACCACCATGTGAAAGATTAGATTGAGCCTTGTTGCCCTGAGTGTCCTCCATGTCCTTTGGTTTGTGCTCATCCAAGTGCAAATCAGTTCATNCCCAAATTTGTAACTCAAATTTATATCCCAAATAAAAGGGGACCATTGGATGAGTGAGTCTTATCATCCTCTTCATTTGGGATGCAAATTTGAGTTGCAGATTTGAGTTACATAGTATTGTTTGAGTTATTGGCTTGCCCGACCCGACAACATTCACGAGTTGCTCATTCAATTGTCCCTCGGAGACATGGTCGAGAAGTACCATGCATGGTTGCCCCCATCGTTTCTTTCTCTCGGTCCCACACGACAAGATAGGGCTCAACCAAAAAACGTGAGCGCCCCTAGGCAAGTCTTATTTTCTTAGCTTAGTAAAGTAAAGTTTTGGCACCCTAAAGACTAAAGAAATGGATTGTAATAATGGTAATATAGTAGGACTGTCATTACAATAACTAAGATTAATGGATGTTTTGTAACTCATGGTTTGGTGAGAAACAAATGGAAGAGAAGTACATGAAGGGCCTCCCCCCTCCCAATCTCCCCCCAAAAAAATATATATATGAAGGGTCATTTTGATATTTAATATATATTGGATAATTAAACACATAAGGATATTGTTAGTTTTAACTTTTTTATAAGGACATAATAGTTAATCAAAAGTTTTTTACTTTTGTTGACCTCTTTTATGAGTTTGTTTTAACACTGTTATGGTATCTATTTTTATCATTTTTCTTCGATACCACAACAGTGATAAAAACATCTATAAAAATAATAAATGTCAACGATACCAAAAATTTTTTGGCACCATAGACAACTCTCAAATTGAGATACATGCATTGAAATCTTTGTTTCCCAAGCCATTCGTTGAATGTCACCTAAAAACATTTTGAGCAATGCTAGAAATTCTAAACTTAGGTCTCAAATGGCATCTCAAATTAATAGGGATCATTGGATATGTGAGTCCTATTACAAAAGTTGTTGAGACTTAGTCATTCAATGATCTCTATTCATTTTTACCAATATTTGGAATCCAGGTTGTTTCTCTCTCAACAATGAAGCTTATCCCCCATCGTCTCATTGGCTGACCTTGACTCATGTTATTTTGATGTCATATTTAGTATTCAGAGTTTGCCTCAATTTGGCACCTCTCTTGCGGCCCGCACCGAAACAGTGCTTTACCTTAGATTTACCGTCAAGGCATGAGACCTTGCTCAATTTTTGGTCAAACTTGGAAGGATGAATTTTAATTCAAAATAGTTGTATGGTAAACATTGACCTTCTTATCGTGCAAATGCTAAAGCTTCGCCAAATGCACAAGTGAATTAAAAAAATATTTGATTTCCTATGTATGGTTGTTTCTGATTGAAATTCATCTTTTGAATTTTGGCTTAAATTTGGACGATTAAAGTTCTGTATTTTTTTTTCTTTTTCGAATCTAATATATTTGTCTGAAATCAATTAAAAATTGTAAAATAAAAGGATGAGTAACCTCCCCTCCTTCCTGTGGCATTGTGACAATAAATTTGATAAGGTTCTTTAAATAACCCCCCCCCCCCCTCCCCAACACACACACACCCTCACCCAAATCCCCAAAAAGAAAAAAAAGGTTTGCCCTGGTCAGTGTTGAATACCTTATTGGCCTTTTAGAGCGCCACACTTTATTGAGTAGTTTTTACTTTTCAATGTGCATGTTTTTCTCTTTGGGTGTGCTCCGCTTGTTGAGCTTTTTTTTTTTTTTTTTTCTCATAGAGTATTTAAATTTGTGTCAACTATTTCTTAAAATTTAGCGATTGATCACCTTGACTTAACCTGAATTAGAACATGTCGCTAAAAAAAATAAAAGTGATTAGCCTTTAAGAAATATGAGAAATAATTAAATTTAAGACGTCTAAATTATCATATGTAAAACTTTATCATTGAACCTCCGTAAAGATTACTTGTTAAACCTTTGAATCCATGGACAAAGGGCATAGTTCAAGTGATTTCGGGTTGCCTCCAAAACCCCCCCTCTCTCTCTCTCTCTCTCTCTCTCAATGTGGTGCATCCAATGCCCAGGGCAAAAAATAAAATATAATCATGGATCACTTCCATAAGGTACTGTGCATAAAAGAATAAAAATAAAGTATCACACACACACACACACATAAAAAGTTGGAAGTTTGCAGCCTTGCACATGTCAAATTGATAAGGAAAGATTAGGCTCTAGAAGCCAACACAACTAATTACAAAAATCAATCCCAACTGAGGTGGTTGTATCTGAGAGTTTCTTTGCTTCAAGAATCAATTTCTAAGCTGACTGTCCTTTTCAAATTTACTTCTCTATCTCTCATCACTTTTACCTTATTTTCGATCTACTGTTACTCTCGTAACAACGTGGTTTCAACCACTTAGAATTTGTTTTGTATACACACTTTTACGTTGAAAATTATACGGTATATAAATTAGAAACCGTGATAAATAAAATAACGATAATTTTGTAAAAAGATTTGTTCCAATAGGATTTAATTGATGGGGAGATGTGCATAATGAGTCATACCAATATGCTAGACAAAATAATGAAGGCCACTTCTCCCATCACTACCACCTTTAAGGTCATTTTTCAACTTTATCTGTTTTATTTTTATTTTTTCTGTCAGTGGGAGGTCCTGTTTTCCAAACATGCAGCTCAGAAAAACCCAAGTTCAACAATTGAAAAGACATTAATAACCCGAGTTCCAAACCCACCCCCTTTGGTATACTATACGTGATAAAACAAAGGGTGAATGACACTTTCACTCTAAAAGCTTCTCAAAATTTTAATTTACGACCTAAAAGTTTAAAATTCTCAAGTTACACTCTTAATCAGATAAAAAGGTAATAATGTAGTTCAAAGGTAAATATTTGATGCCTTTTCTGACAATTTTTTGGTTGTATTTTTTCACATTATCTTATTTTATATACAATTGCTTTCGTAATACTCTATTTGAAGTGTTCTCGACAAAAAATTAGTACTCAATTTCCTTGAAATGGAACACATTGTTATCTTTTTCATTTAATTGAGGGTTCAATATGAGAATTTTCATCTTTCAAGGTATAAATTGAGAATGTGAAGATCTTTTACGGTGCAAAGTGTTGTTTGCCCTAAAATAAAAAAAAATATAAAAAATAAGGCTCTGCTGTGGCTCCAGATAATCAGTTCAAGATAATCCAAACCCAAAGACCAAATCTCTGAAAGCCATTCAAAAAAAGCAACTCTTATTTTGTTGTTCTCAATTGGCATAAAGGATGAAACTTCCACTAAGAAAACTCCTCATGCCGATTCTTACAAGATTACATAAACAAAACCAATGCAATTAAATAATGATGGGTTTACCAAGCTTGAATCAGAGTAAAATAATTGTGGAAGTGGCTACAAATTGAATATCCTAAGAGTACATCAATTATGATACAAAGGACAGTACCAGATACACATTGTTCTTTATAGCCTTGCCCATGGGAATCTCAGTGGGCTCTCCTCATCCCCCACCCCAATTTCAAAAGCATCCAATGCTGACAGAACTTTCAGATTCTGAACAATCATCCCCCCACCACCATGTGAAAGATTAGATTGAGCCTTGTTGCCCTGAGTGTCCTCCATGTCCTTTGGTTTGTGCTCATCCAAGTGCAAATCAGTTCATTTAGCTATCATGGCTAAACTATAACTTTGTAACATATGTACATTTATTGGGTTAATAGAGTCATGGCTCTATTCAAGCTACCTCGAAATCCGATGGAGTCGTCGTGGCGTTGGTACAACCAGATCGTGACCAGATTTTATCGAGTTGAGACGATCTTGTATCAGTGATTTATCAAACAGCCTGTTATCGGGATTCTCAGCATAGCAGACATAGTAACAGCTCACACAGGCTTGAGGCAATGCCATCGCAATCCTAGTCTGTCGCAGTACCAAATTCACAATTAAATTATGTTAATCAATAGTTTAGGAATAGACATATCCAAGTTGATCACATAGCATTAATGGAGAATATGACAGTTGAATATTCTTAAAATAGTTAGGTGTTGAGACAAAGGCCACCAACCATGAGATAACCAATGTAGAAGGCAAGGAGGGATATGGTAGCTGTGAAGCTCCGCTGCACTGTGGCAGTCCAAGCGGCCACAACGATGACACAGATGGAGCCACTGCAGACTCCTGTGAGGAAGCATATAGCACTGGTCATGTCAGAGTCGACAATTTGCTCCATTTCTCGCATCTCAAAGAGTTCCCAAGTGTCCTTTGATGCCTGAACAAAGCCTTTTCCATATGTAGCAATCTGTAACAGTTATTTAGTGGATCTCTCAATTCCATTTCACTAACACTTATGATAAGTCATTAGTCCTATAGTCACAGGCCATAATTAGAATTAAAGTAAGATGGAACATATAGGTTGATTCAATCAAATAAAATACATGGTCGCTAAACCAATGATATCAGAAAAATTCACTAAAAAATTATAAATAAAGTTCAAAATAAGTTACAAATATTTAAAAAGAAGAAAAAGAAACAAGGAAACATTGAAGAATGTTGAAGTGTATACGTAACTCTATGGACAGCTGTAGAACTAGAAGCATTCAAAACCTTAAAGAATGTTATTGGAGAATAACTCGAGAAACACCTCCCTTAAAGTAAATATCAGATAGTGTAGTCTTAAACACAAATAGCACTTTATTTTTCGCAAAATGAATTTCTCCTATGGATAGATTCAAACCAAGTCATCTCCTNTGAGACTTAGTCATTCAATGATCTCTATTCATTTTTACCAATATTTGGAATCCAGGTTGTTTCTCTCTCAACAATGAAGCTTATCCCCCATCGTCTCATTGGCTGACCTTGACTCATGTTATTTTGATGTCATATTTAGTATTCAGAGTTTGCCTCAATTTGGCACCTCTCTTGCGGCCCGCACCGAAACAGTGCTTTACCTTAGATTTACCGTCAAGGCATGAGACCTTGCTCAATTTTTGGTCAAACTTGGAAGGATGAATTTTAATTCAAAATAGTTGTATGGTAAACATCGACCTTCTTATCGTGCAAATGCTAAAGCTTCGCCAAATGCACAAGTGAATTAAAAAAATATTTGATTTCCTATGTATGGTTGTTTCTGATTGAAATTCATCTTTTGAATTTTGGCATAAATTTGGACGATTAAAGTTCTGTATTTTTTTTTTCTTTTTCGAATCTAATATATTTGTCTGAAATCAATTAAAAATTGTAAAATAAAAGGATGAGTAACCTCCCCTCCTTCCTGTGGCATTGTGACAATAAATTTGATAAGGTTCTTTAAATAACCCCCCCCCCCCCCCCCCCCCCCCCACACCCCCCCCCCCCCAACACCCAAAAAAAAAAAAAAAGAGAGAGAGACAGAGCAGTGCATGCGACTGTGAAGTCTGGTTAAATTGCCATCTCTGGAAACGTATCCACGGAGTAGGGCTTTGAATAAATATTCAACTGCCTGTAACTGGCTTTCTCTTACAGATGGATGAGATATAGGTGCTTAAGGAAAAAAAGATAATTATGATATCTCAGCAAAATTTTCACCAAAAGTTTTTAAAAAAACACAAAGATGCACCTTAGTAGGGCCTGATGCATTTCCTTTGTAAACTCCCTTGCTGATGGAATGTTCNCCATAGAGTATTTAAATTTGTGTCAACTATTTCTTAAAATTTAGCGATTGATCACCTTGACTTAACCTGAATTAGAACATGTCGCTAAAAAAAATAAAAGTGATTAGCCTTTAAGAAATGTGAGAAATAATTTAATTTAAGACGTTTAAATTATCATATGTAAAACTTTATCATTGAACCTCCGTAAAGATTACTTGTTAAACCTTTGAATCCATGGACAAAGGGCATAGTTCAAGTGATTTCGGGTTGCCTCCAAAACCCCTCTCTCTCTCTCTCTCAATGTGGTGCATCCAATGCCCAGGGCAAAAAATAAAATATAATCATGGACCACTTCCATAAGGTNTATGAGAAATAATTAAATTTAAGACGTCTAAATTATCATATGTAAAACTTTATCATTGAACCTCCGTAAAGATTACTTGTTAAACCTTTGAATCCATGGACAAAGGGCATAGTTCAAGTGATTTCGGGTTGCCTCCAAAACCCCCCCTCTCTCTCTCTCTCTCTCTCTCTCAATGTGGTGCATCCAATGCCCAGGGCAAAAAATAAAATATAATCATGGACCACTTCCATAAGGTACTGTGCATAAAAGAATAAAAATAAAGTATCACACACACACACACACATAAAAAGTTGGAAGTTTGCAGCCTTGCACATGTCAAATTGATAAGGAAAGATTAGGCTCTAGAAGCCAACACAACTAATTACAAAANATAAAATATAATCATGGATCACTTCCATAAGGTACTGTGCATAAAAGAATAAAAATAAAGTATCACACACACACACACACATAAAAAGTTGGAAGTTTGCAGCCTTGCACATGTCAAATTGATAAGGAAAGATTAGGCTCTAGAAGCCAACACAACTAATTNGGTATAAAACTTTTACATCTTACCTCAGAGAGACAGACATTAAGGTAAGACTACATATAGTTAATGTTCTTCAGCAAGCGCCCAAAGTGACGCGTGTATACATGTGTGTAATTACTACATATATCTAGTAGTGAATTTATTACTTCGTTACCGTACTCAAGTCCCCCATTTCAATAAGAGGCGGCCCACTGTTATGAGTTAATGATCCACGTGCCATAATCGTGACGTTTCCAGAATCGGTCCTCAGCCTTTTCTGACGTCTGCAAAATGGGATAGAGTGGGGCCGCTGGGTACTGAATTATGAAGTTGCATGACTTGGATCCACCTCACTTTGTCTCATACAATTGTCATATTATAGCATAAAGGGTGGGTTCAACTATTATACTGAAAATTATATTCAAACCCCTTTGATTTTCACCTTTTCTCCCCTAGGCCCTCTATTGTTTTAAAATAGCCGCATAACCCTTGTGTGATTTGTTATCTAAAATGAANTATCTCCTATGGATAGATTCAAACCAAGTCATCTCCTCATGAAAGGAACAAGGGTGTCTGTACAAAATCAAAATGCAGAAAAGTCATCCGATGCTTGTAGGAAGACTGGTTTTGATTCATTTTAAAATTTAATTTATCTTGAACTTTGATTATTTCAAACCNGTGGCTGATCTCCGTTGTTGGCCACCCTTGGCTCCCGCAACCACCTCCACCAACTCCACCAACTCAAAAGCCAACGACCACCTCCGCATGCACACATGAGGTGTCAATAAAATTTATACAACAGCAGTGTNGCTTGTAGGAAGACTGGTTTTGATTCATTTTAAAATTTAATTTATCTTGAACTTTGATTATTTCAAACCCAAATTTTTCAATATTTTCTTTACATACAAATTAGATTCGCCAACCGTCGTCTGCAGTTCATATTTTATGTAGTATCCCATAATGAGATGCAAGTGCTAACTGGTACTAAGTAACAATACCTGTACATTGGCCCAGCCATTGCCACATCTGAAGATGGACTCCATGACTTTCAGACAGCAATGTGCACAAGAAAACATGAACTCATCCTCTCCCTCGAGCAAATTCAAACCTCGAGCAACAATTCTCAAAGCTTCTATGGTAGGCACAAAAAGGGATCCAAGACAAGCACTTCCTAGATTTTTCGACAATGCTCTTTGGAAACAAAATTGGGTACTAGATTGCATTCCTCTGAGATAATACAGAGCAATTACCCTACTAACTGTTACATTAGCAACATTCCTCATGACTTCAGCTGTCCAAGCCAAGCTCAATACCAAAGCAATTATAATCAATGGAGGGAAGTAGAAATATAGTGCCCCAATTACAGCGAAAATCCACAGTGATATCCACAAGAACCCGGCCCCAAGCATCCAATACGTTGGTCGATTCAAATCAGGGAATTTAGATACCGGTTCAAGTGATTTGATGAAGATCTTAGAACAAAACCCAGTTCTCGGTGTAACCCAACAAGCATATAAACCATTACCAATGGCAAAGATGAGAAAGACGGCTCCTACGCCATCAGTGGCAGGCCTTTGGAAGCAAATTAGAAGAATCCCAGCAGATAAAGCCATGAGAAAAGAGGTCCAAATTATGAAATGAACCATAAATTTAGGCCATTCTCTCACTGCCTTTTGCCATAAAAATGCAAGTGTAATGCTAAGAAATGAAGCAGCCTCAACCTGAGGCAGAAAATACTCTAGTAACCTCTTCTCTTTCCTCTGAGTTTCTCCTCCTTGAAGCAGGCTTTGAATTCCCTTGAATATAAGAAAACCAAATAACCCAACAGCCACAACCATATGCAGAAGGAACAAAAATAGAGATATTCTGTTGGTGTATCTCCTTGAATTCAGTGTTATTAGTGATTGCTGCCAATTTAACACAAAACCCAAAAGAAAAATT